GGCAGCGCGTACTGCGCGGACTGCACCCGGCCGGGGCCAGCGTGCCACCGCCCACAGCCGGCCTTGGCGCGGGCCGGGCCCCTCCCGGGCCGCGACCCATTGGGGGAGGCCCGCTCGGGCCCGCCCCCAGCGGACACCTCCACCTATGGCAGGGGAGGACTTGTTCGCCCGCATCCGGGCCTTGGATACAGCTTCGCGGATTGGAGGACGCGCGCCTCCACCTGTCTCCCGGGGCTCAGTGGACAACGCCCACCAGCGGAGCCGGACACTGCCCCAGCGACGCGTGCCGTTCATTGGCCGCCCTGACTTCCGCCTCTGCGCCCTGGGCTCCGGCCGCCCGGCGCCAAAGGGCGGGTCCCGGCGGGGGCGGGTCCAGGAGTGCCTCTGTGACCTTGGCCCCGGTTGGTCCTTCCTAATCCCGCGGCTTGGCACCCAGCCCTCTAGTCCCTCCGCCAGAGGGCGTGGGAGGAAGGGCCCGCGGCGTCCTCGGAGGCGGTGCGCAGCCGACCAATCAGGCTCGCCCCTACTCCCCACCTGCGCTCCGTGCATTTGCAGGACCTAGCAAAAGGCACGCACCTAAGCCACACCCAGCCGGAAGGATCGGTTCTGTGGGAGGGGACCCGGGGTCTCCAGTGTCTACAAATGTGATTGCAGTGCTCAGAGACCCTCTAGCCCACAACTTGTCGGCCACGGTAATCTGTGGAGAGCACCTGCTCCAGCAGCTCCAACTCTCGGATGCAGAATGAGTTGGGAAAGCAGGTGACAGTGGGCTCCAGGCTCTGCAGGCAAAGGGGCCGGCCCACTCTGACAAATCAGGTTCCTTCATCTGTTGGCCTTTCATCATGTCCCAGGTCTGGGGCAGGGGTACCGCTAGCCCGGAGGGCACCGCCTCCCAGCGGTCATCAGTAAGGGCTGCACTCCCTTGTTAGGAAGGTTCCTGGGAGCCATGGGCAGAAGGGAAAGTGAGAGCGAGGAAGCCATCAGCCATCAGCCATCCTCCCGCACCTGCCCTGCAGTCAGCAGCTGGCAGCACCTGCGGCTTTCGGGGGTGGGGCTCCAAGGGCGCTTCTGTCTCCAGAGACGCGCAGGATTTGGCTGTGGGGGCTCTTCTCAGCTTCTGGGTCCCATGGCAGCTACAGCTGCCACTAGTTCAGGGTTGCCTCAGTCTGCTGCCTGCACTGCCGTTATGCTGCTGAGTGGGACCCCCGCCCAGTGGTAGCTCCATGCACAACAGAATGGAACATGCACCGTGGGTTCTCACCAGCTGACTCCAACAGGAGGTCACCCGGCCTTGATCCTAGTCCATCTTAGTCCAGAAGTTCCACTGCAGTCTGCCAGCATCACAGCAACACGCACACTCCAGCACAGGCATGGCGGCTGTGCGTGCGGGCACTGGGCAGCATCTAAACCCAGGTCTCCTGCATGCTAGGTGAGGGGTCTGGCACCGAACCACCAAGCCCTGCAGCCACTCTATTAAGCTGGAAAAGAGAAAACTTTGGATCCCAGCCTTCCAGATGCCAGTGTCTGCTCCCCTAAGACCTTCCCCAAAGCAAACTTCCCAGAGGAAGCAAAGCCTCCCAATACCCTCAGGCTGACCACATCCTCAACTGCACGGGGACAGGGGAACAAACGCTACATGGAGGCCAAAAACAGCATCCTAATGGACACCCACTCCCAACACACAGCTCGCCTTCTGCTTGGACAAGTTATCGATCCTGGGAGGAGACGCTGGCATAGCTCTGGCATCATCCTGACAAGTCCAAGGATCTCAAAAGTTTACCCACTCAGCGTCCATTCCACGCAAAGTGGTCACAAAGTTCACACCCTCAGCCCAGCTGAGGTACTAGAGCCGAGGTTAGCAAACCTTCCCTGGGGGCCAGACAGTAAACATTTCAGCCCAGTAGCTTTCCATGGGGTGCCCTGGGGCATGGTCAATGCCTGGACATACTTCTAGCTGTCACAAGTGGAGTGATGTTAGTGTCCTCCAGGGATCCTGCTCAACGCCCAGCAATGCACAGCACACTCCCCACAAGAACTACCCAGGCTAAAGTGCCACCAGTGTCATCCCAAGTGGGCCACATTTGCTCTCTGGCATGCAGACTGTGTTTGTTCTCACAACTCCCCAGATGCAGGGCACTCTCACTCGTGGGCCGCGGGCTGCCACCAAGGCTCTGCTGTCACACCAGTGCCCGGCAGCCTAACACACACCTACCTGCTGTCCCCCCACCCAGGCAGGGCACATGGATCCTCCCAGGGAAGAGGCAAGGAGAGCCCCTCTGTGTGGCCCTTCTCTAGCGCATGAGAGGCAGGCACTGCTCATGCAACGGAACATTCAGCCTTTTATTTTTCTACCAGCAAGTGTTCATTTGGCACCTGACAGGGATCAAAGCAAAGCCTTTGGGTGACAAACCTGGCCTAGGATCAGTTCCTAGTATCAGAGGGCCACTCACAAATTTCCTCTTTGTAGATCTCAATGATCAGGAGCATCAGAGCACCTGGTCCCCTCACAGGCCCCACGGACCTGGGGAGGCCTCAACCTGCCTCAGGGATGCTAATGGTGCCAGCTGCAAGGTACAGCCTGTGCAGGGATGGAGGAGGCAGCACCATGAAAGCATTTCTCTGATGACCCAACTTCTCAGGCCCACTGTGCTCCTAGTCGATGGACTCTTTGTCGCCAGCGGGCTGGGATGAAGGAAAGGACCCCTCCCATCACACAGACAAGGTTCTCCAGTTCAAGCACGTGACGCGGTCTGTTCCAGGCAGACGGGACAGTGAGCTCCCAGTCAGCACTGCTGGCCAGGTGAAATCTGAGTCCAGCCTTGGGACGGGATGCTTTCCCCTGGGTCCACAAGGCACACTCAGACCCCATCAATGTGTTATACGTATACGTAACGTCCAGCCGTCACAGGCATTGGGGACTGTCTGGCGTGGGACCCCTCTCAAGTCAACTCAGGTCTGCAGCTCAAAGCTCGGAGCAGCAGGAAATGCGTTGTACGGATCGAGGCTTCTCTGTGTGGCCCTGCTGTGGGGCGAACCTCAGACACAACCGGGGTAAAGAAACCTGGGCATTGCCTTCAGGTCGCCTTCTCCGACGGTGCGGAGGAAGGAGGGTCCAGCGTTGCAGCTGCCCAGGGCTGCCCTCCCAGCCCCGCTGCAGGCTAGTTGACCCGGCAGGCGCGGATCATCAACAGCTGCAGGAGAATGAAGACTGGAGACGTGATTAGGCCAAACCAGAGCTCCCGCGTCTGCTCCACCAGCTTCTGACATAACAGCATCTCAAAAACGAACTTGAGGCTAAGGACCGTGAGGACCCAGAAGAGGCGCAGCACGGCCAGCCGCTTCTCGCCGTCCTGGAAGAGGCGCACGGACACGATGGTGGTGAAGTAAGTGCTGAGCCCATCAGCAGCGAAAAACGGCACGAACACGTTCCACCAGGAGAGGCCAGGGGCTAGGCCGTCCACACGCAGGGCCAGCAGCACGGAAAACGCCAGCAGGGCCAGCAGGTGCACGAAGATCTCGAAGGTGGCGAAGCCCAGCCACTGAACCAGCTCCCGGAGCGAGAAGAGCATCGTGCCGGTGGAGGGCGGCCCGGGCCAGGGCCGCGCTACAGCCGAGGGTTCCGCCCGTGGGGCTGCGCCTCCTGTCCCCGCAGGCCTCGCCGGCGCCTGCCGCCGCCGCGCGCGCGAGGCAGCGAGCCCTCGGTCCTCGCACGCCGCCAACCTCCCAGTCCCGGCCTGAGACCCAGCACTGGCCGCCAACGGATGCCCACCTCGCTCGGACGCCATGCCCCGCCGGGCGCGGTCCGAAGGCGTCACTTCCGGCCGGTGGCGGAAGTCGGAAGTGAGAGCCGATCCTCCCGCCAGGATCGCCGGAAGCGGCCTTCGTGGGGTCTGTCCTAGTCTGGGACCCTAGGCCTGGCCCCGGATGTCGAGCCCGAGGCTTCTGGTACTCTTTGGTAGCCAGACTGGCACGGCCGAAGATGTGGCCGAGAGGCTGGGCCGTGAGGCCCGGCGCCGGCGGCTTGGCTGCCGGGTGCTGGCCCTAGACTCCTACCCGGTGGTGAGGGTCCCTGAGGGCATGGGTGGGGGGACCCGAGCGGGCGTGCCCTGCCAGTGTCCTGGGGACCTTGGACTCCAGGGCGTTACGTCGTGTCTAAGAGCGAGCCCTTCGGTTTCGGGGGTTATAGAGGAAGGGGAGGCTGGGGAGGAGGGTTCAGCTCAGGGCATGGAGGGGCGGAGCGAGGAGGCAGGATGCAGTCTTGGGCGAGCGCACAAGCGGGCCTGTGCCCTTCCATTTCCCACGGCTCTCAGCGCCCCCGTGATCCTCTTTCGCTCTGAACGGAGGGCGTGGGAAGTCGCCCTTGGCATGCCAGCTGGAAGTCTCACGCGTGTGTCTTTTTGTTAAGGTGAATCTGATTAAAGAGCCTTTGGTGATATTTGTGTGCGCAACTACGGGCCAAGGAGACCCTCCTGACAACATGAAGGTAAGGCGGAGCCGATGCCCGCTCCCGTCTGCAGCGCAGATCCTGCCTCCACCCCTACCCTTTTCCTGTGGCCCCGAGAGTCCCGGCAGCACAGTCGCCGTCCCGTGTCCAGTGCAAGGTCCCGTGGGTCTCATTTTCCTTGGGACCTGGGAGGCTGTCTTTCGGTGAAACTGGGGCTCTGATTGTCCTCCCTAGTAAACATCTCGCAGGTTGCCAGATAGACTTGTTCTTCATTGTACGTTTGTGGTGGTTAAGTTTGTGTGTCAACTTGGCTGGGCAGTGGGATGTAGTATTCCCCATGATGAGACCGGTAATCAACTCCATGGTGGAATCTACTGTGAGCAGCTGAGTAGCTGCCCTAGGGATGTGGTCTGCTTCCTGTATATGAGGAGAAGCCTTGGGGAGCAGGCCCTAGCTTATGGCTTGGACTCTGCACATAGCTGTGGTGGTATTCAGCAGCCTGCCATGCTCTGCGGACCTTGGGACTCTCAATGGACTTGAACCAATGGCCTGCCATGTGGTTTGGTAACATCGGGACTGTGCCTTTTTACTTGTCAACCGTGAGCTTGGCAGCCTCAGCAGCCAGCAGCTGTCTGAGTGAAGAAAAGCCTCTAGCTCCAGTGGGCCGGGAGCAGGAGGCAGAGCTGAAGCCCAAGGCTGAGGGGCTTTCACCCAGCCCCTAGAGCCTGGTACTTTGAACTTGGACTTAAAACTTCCACACTGTAAGAATAAATTCCTGTTTGTTCAAGTATCCCATTTGTGGTATATTCTTGTCAGAGCGGCACTAGGGAACCAGAACAACTTTCAGCCATTTCCAGGGCAGCATATGAGTCCAAGGAGCCCTGGTGGGGCAGTGATTAAGAGCTTGGCTGCTAACCCAAAGGTCAGCAGTTCGAACCCAGCAGCCACTCGTGGGGAGAAAGATGTGGCAGTCCACTTCAGTGAAGATTGACAGCCTTGGAGACCCTGTAGGGCAGTTCCACTCTGTCCTCTAGGGGCGCTGTGGGTCGGAACCAATGCAGAGGCAGTGGGTTTGTTTTTGTTGGGTTTTGCTTCAGTGAGGATTGACAGCCTTAACCCTGTGGGGTAGTTCTGCTCTGTGCTCTAGGGGCGCTGTGAGTCAGAATCGACACAAGGGCAGTGGGTTGGCTTTGTTTTGGGTTGATAGGGGCCCAGTCTGGGTTCTGTGTGTTTTTCTATGCTATCTGACCATCAGGGAATTCACCAGTTCTTTGAACATCTGCTCAGCACACGCACATCATACTCCAGCTGTGAACATACAGCCACATTTTTACCCTCCTGGAACCCACAAAGGCAGCCTAGTGGAACAGTGGCATTGGTGAGGGGGACCTAGGCCAGCCTAAGGCTCAGAGAGAGGCTTCTGGAAGAAAGGAGCATACACTGAGTTCTGGAGGATAGTGGGGGCCAGACACAAGGGAAGAGGGAGCAGCCCGTGCAGCCTCTGGAAAGAGCGAGATGCACTTCCTTGTGACTGAACCAAGGAGCACAGCAGGCGAGAGGGCAGGAGAGAGGAGGCAAGGTGCCGGCCCCACCCCAGAGAGCCAGGGCAGCCGCAGTGTAGCCCCTGGGCTTGGATCAATGGCCGGGGAAACCATGGAGGTGGCAGTCAGGTCTCTGTTCTAACGAGATCCCTGCTTGTCTGCCAAGGACAACAGGGTGTCAGAGATTGAGAGTGGTGCCAGTGAGAGATGCTCACGGCCTGCGCTGGGGGCTGACTAGAGCAGAGGTGGGCGGGCACGTTCCAGAGAGAAGGCAGAGTCATGGATGGGATGCACATTGCATGGATTTGGGAGGTGAGCAAGGAGACAGGACCCAGACATAGCTTCAGGTCTATGTCGGCTCTGCGGTGGAAGGCTGTTCCACTCAGAGGACATGGGGCAGACACTGGGGCCCAGGGTGGTCTGACACCTGGGCCTGGAAGACACCCCCAGTTGGGGAACCAGTGAGTCTGGGCTGGAGTTGGTGTTGGCATGGCCGACATGACCACCATGGAAGTCTGGGGTGAGAGTGTGAGCTGTGAGAAAAGGAAGCACTATCCCCCAGGATAGTTTGCCCTGGACATCTGGGTGTGGGAGGCTGGAGAGAAGCCGGTGACAGGGATTTGAGAGTGATCCAAGCAGCAGAAGAGGGAGTGCACCCACAAGGACAGAGGACGGGATGCTTCAGGAAAAAGGGTTCAGATAAGGCCTAAGAGGGACCTGCTGGTGTATCAGCAGAGGGATTGTGGGGGCCTTGGGCAGAGCTCTGGCTTCCTGGGGAGAGAAGCCAAAGAACAGGGATCAGCACTGAGTGAGCGGCGAGCAGAGTCTGTGGTTCTTTGTTTGTTGCAGTTGTCTGAGAAGGAGGTGCAGGGTTGAAAAGAAGGTTTTTATGAGACGGGAGAGACTTGGACGTATTAAATGCTGGTGGAGAAAAGACTGGAGAGGAAGAGGGTTAGGGTTAAGGGTTTGGTCATTTAATGCTGCTCTAACGGACATACCACAAGGGGGTGGTTTTAACAAACAAATGTATTTTCTTGCAGTTCAGGAGGTCTGAAGTCCAATGTTTAGGGTGCCAGCTCTGGGGAAAGGCTTTGTCTCTCTGTTGGGTCTAGAGGAAGGTCCTTGTCCCTTGGGCTTCTGTTCCTTGTCTCCTCAGTGAACTTCACCTGGAATCCATCTGTCTTCCCACAACTCTGCTTGCTGGCTCTCTTGCTTTGTCTTTCTTATGTCTTAGAAGAGATGGATTTAAGACATGGCTTACACTAACATGGGTTCATTCACATAACAGAAAAATCCATTCTCAAGTGGGACTCTAATCGCAGATGTAGGAATTAGGATTTACAGCACATTTTTTGGGGGACACAAAGCAACCCATAACCGTTGGGGATCGGGGGCAGAGTCCCTGTGGAGGCCAAGAGGGTGAGAGCCCAGCACGGGGCAGGAGACGAGGAGGAGGAGGCGGATGCAGGATAGGGCCGTCTGCTAGGAGACGCAGCTCGAGAGGGAACACAATGCCCCTCGGGTCTGAGCGGGGCTCATGGTCAGGGTGGAGGTCAGACCACCCCTCAGGAGCCGCCAGCAGGAAGGTGGCGACCATCACGCCAGGTGAGTGCATCGAGATGAGTATGTGTGAAGTCGGCGTCCATGACTGGGGTCCCCCAACCCATGGTGTGGAGGCTGGGCTGAGGTGCTCGTCTGTGCCCAGCAGGAGGCCTGGCCTTACCTGGGCCCCTCTGAGGGCACTGCAGTTAGCACAGTTCCCAGCAGGGGCAGATGCGTCCCTAGGTAACATGTGGCCAGTGACCCGGCTCCCACAGCCTGGGCCTGCCCCACCTCCTTGCTGAGGAATCGTGGTTGACAGGCCCTGTCCCTCCAGCTTCTGTCAGCGTGTCGGTGTACATGGGCCACAGAGAATGCAGCATGTCTGAGGAAAGACTCGGGTGACAGGCGAGGCAGGGCCAGGGCAGGGCCACGGGGCTCCTCTGCAGGGAAGCAGGAGATGGGCAGGGCCATGGAAATACTGCACAGAACAAAGCTGGAGACCAAGCAAAAGCCCTGTGCGGCCTTTGAGAAAGATCAGAACATCAGTTTGGGGGTCCTCCCACCAAGCATAACAAACAACAAGGGGACAGAGCATGAAAAGAAGATACTGAGATTCAGAGATTGTTCCAGAAAGTTCTGAATGAGCACAAGGTAACAGGCAGGCAGTTAGCAAGAAGGAGTCACAAGATGACCCAGAACCGAAGGGCAAGTCTTCAGCCACAAGAGCCTGCTAGCACCTGGTCCCCACGTTCGCCCCGCCTGAGGGTACGGCGCAGGCGTGTGGGCGGGAACTTAGCTCCTGGGGACAGAGCAGGACATACAAAGGGATGGCCAGCACAGCAGCTTCCCAGTGTGACTGAGCATTGCAGGCACCTCCAGTCTTGATTCTCAAGGGCATCTGGCCCACCTGCAAACCAGGTGTGTAGAAGAATCGAGGCACTTTGACATGTGCAGGGTCACAAGACTGGAAGACGTGGAAGGAGGGCTCCGGAGGAGGGAACCACTGCCTGCCAGGTGTGGTCTCTAGAGGTGGAGCTCAGGGACCCCAGGGTCTAGCTCGGGGGGTGTCGGCCACGCGAAAAGCTGGGCCTCAGGGATTCGGGTCCCTCAGCCTTCCCTGTGCAGGGCTTGTGGTCTGGACCAGGCCATCTGGCTAGCTGGGGTTGGCGTGGCTGGGGATAGAAGGGACAGGTCCGCGGATGCAAGCTCAGACCTCAGGGTCACGGCCCTGATGGCCCTGGAGATGGGCCTCACCAGGGCATGCGTGTGTGGATTAGGGAAGGTGGGCATCAAAGGCCAGGTGGGTGAACAGAGCCGAAGGGGTGCAGACGGGCTGATGGAGCTGGGGCGTGGTCAGGAGAAGCAGGCCAGGGCCATGCAGAAGGGTGTGCACGGCAGAGTCCTGGGCCAGTGGGGTGTGGCAGTCCCACCTAGGGCCACACGTCCCAGGCTGGAACCAGGAGGGCACCAGGACACGGGCTGGGGGACTCGAGTGGAGCACTGGCCCCGCTCTCCAGGACAGTTCTCCCTCCTCAGTCCCGTGTTGGGAAGTGAGGGCTTCCCCACTGCCTGGGCCCGGGCCCTCTGCTCACACCCTGTGCTGATGGCTATGGCTCTTCTAGTGGTGATTTTGTGCCACTACAAATGTCTGGTCACTGTCAACCTAAGAAAAAACCACTGTCCTTCTTATCTTCATAAAACGGGTCCCTTGGTGGTGGTGGGAGATTGCCCTGGAACTGGGGCAGCCCTCCCACCTCCCCTGCTCAGGTCTGGGCAGCCCTGGCCTCTGCCCTGCAGCCCTTCATCCTGCCTCAGCCTTCCTGCCACCTGGGACCCAACCTCTCCTGGGAGCTGCAGGGCTGGCCCGGAGTCAGGACACTAACCAGGGTTTCTTCTGGCTATAGAACTTCTGGAGGTTCATATTCCGGAAGAACCTGCCACCAACCGCCCTCTGCCAAGTGGACTTTGCCGTCCTGGGCCTTGGGGACTCCTCATACACCAAGTGAGTCAGCGGGGATGGCTCTCCCAGCTTGGGCAGGGCACCCTGTTCCCACAGACACCCCCAGAGGAGCATGCGCCGTCACCAGACCCCTCCCAGGGGGGAGGGCACACCCAGGGTTTGGAACCAGAGTGCGGACAGCATGAATGGCACACAGCCTCCCTGCCTCCTGGTGTGTGCAAACGCCAAGTCGGAAATCCGGAAGAGTTAGGCTAGAGAACAAAGACTCAGCACTGCTACCTGTCCTCGCTGGTGGCAGACAGGAGCGGTCAGCACCACAGGGGCTCTGAGCCCCGCACGCCCCGAGCCTGCCCCCACCCCACCCCGTGCCCTCCCCCAACAATCCAAACCCACCCCCCCCCCGTCCCCCCCCCCCCCCGCCCCTGCCCCGCCCCACCCCATGCCAGTCCAGCCCCTTTGGTCAGCCAGCCCCACCACGCGCCTGCCCCTCTCCACCCCACACCCGCTCCTCCCCACCCGGTGCCAGTGCAGCTCTCTGGCCGCCCAGCCCCACCCAGCCCAGCCCCTTGGCCATGCCTGCCCAGCCCCACGCCCTCCTGGGGTGGCATCAGGCCTGCTTCACGTCAGGGCAATGATGAGACTCACCAAGGTAAGTCTAAAGCTGATTCCTAAGAGCAGAGGTCAGGCGTACCTCCAGCTCATCTTCACAGCCAATTCTGATACCAGCCGTCCCTCCCAGGGCACCCTCTACTCTTCTGGGTTCAGTAATCCATTGCAGTGGCCACTCAGAACTCAGATCATATGGTTAAGTGGCTTATTAGGGAACTGACAGGGTGCACCTTGGGTCAGGAAGCCTTTAGGCCAGGTCTGGGAGGCTCCCCCAGTGTGGAGCACGCATTCCTCCCTTCAGCCAGGACAGCTCTCAGCTCCTCACGGCTGAGTGAGCCAGCAGGCCCTTCTCTGCCGCGCACGCCTCCTCTCGCCCCAGGACAGGCCTCTGTCTTCAGTCCCTGCACTGCGGACTGACCCAGCTCACAGCCAGTGCAGTGGCTTCCTCGGCTCTGGGCTGTGTTCCCTGCAGCTGGTTTCTGCCCTCACCACTGACCGCCTGAGGGCCCTGTCCAGGCCTCTCACTGTCTTCAGTGTGAAAGCCATTGGCCCCTGGTATAGTTCTTGTAGGCGGTTTTCCACCTTCTGTCTGTTTTCCCCTTGCTGTTTCTGCTTCTGTCTGTCTAGCTCTGTGGGGTTGGCTGCATACGTAGGCAAAACTCCTTGTTAGTTTCAAAGCATGGCTCTCCCACAGAGCCATGAACTGACCAGTCTTTTTTCTGCAGGCCGTACGCACTTCATTTGTATAGTAGGCTATGGTCAGTCATATGCATAGTGTATTGCCTGTTCCCACAAGGTGCATGAAATAGACTAATCACACGGCAGGCTGCAGGCCGAGGCTAGACAAACAGTATCAAACCTCAAGTGTGCGACTTACTCAGGCAATGTCACTCAACCTGGACCGAAGTAACAAATGCTCTGGAGTAGAAAGCCAGGCCACAGGTCACTCCTCAGGGCTCAGAAGGTCTCTCAAGCGGTTTTCCTAGAGAATGAAGGCAGAAGGCCACATAAAGGGCCTGACAGGTGGGACAGCTGCCACCACTGCTCATTCCACTTGAGTGCCTTTGCAAGGACAGTCGACCCCTGAACACGTACCACTTGGTCTTCAGGGGTCTTGGTGGCGTCTGTCGTTACTGGAACCTTGAAACTCCAACTGCCTGTGTTGAGCTGGGGCGCTGAGTCTTCCAAAGCTGAATCCATGGGGAAGGGTCCTCTGTCTTCTCAGGTGAAGGAAGATGGGGGTGGCTGTTTGACCTGGCTCCACCCAGAGACGGTGCAGTGTGGCCACCCATACGTACCGTGCACAGGTGTGCAGGCAGACAAGCCCCCAGGCCAAGAGGACCCTGGGTAGGGCCCGAATCAGTCACTTAGCACCCGCGTGGCACGTGGCAGGGCAGCACCAAGATCTTACTGAAAGTGGGCGGAGGGCAGGCCCTCTGGTTGGGGCTCCCTGGCCGCCTCGGCAGAGCCACGCCCCTCTGGAGTTCGACCAGGATGGAGCGTGTACATGCGGGGACTGCCCGGGGCCACTCTGCAGGGGCCGCTCTGCCCAGCACGGGGGCCCACCTGCTGGCCCCAGCCTTCCTGGGCCCTCCACAGGTTCAATTTTGTGGCCAAGAAGCTGCACCGTCGGCTGCTGCAGCTCGGAGGCTGCGCCCTCCTGCCCCCGTGCCTGGGCGATGACCAGCACGAGCTGGGGTGAGTCTGTGTCCCGACGGACAGGCAGATGGGAGCACCGCCGTCAGCAGGACCTTCATGGGCCCCAACACACTCTCCACAGGCCTGACGCCGCCATTGACCCCTGGCTGCACGACCTGTGGGGGAAGATGCTGGAGCTGTACCCGGTGCCCCCTGGCCTCAGCGTGATCCCACCTGGAGTCCTGTGAGTGCAACCCAAGGGTGTGGGTCAGTAGTCTGGGGGACCCAGGCTGAGCACCCCACCCTCTCTGCAGGCTGCCCTCCAAGTTCACCCTGCAGTTCCTGCAGGGGCTACCCAGGACTGAGGAGCAGCCTGAACCCATGGCAGACCCTCAGGGAGCCCCCTCGGAGCTTCAGCCCTTCCTGGCACCCATGGTTTCCAACCAGAGGGTCACGGGGGCCCTGCACTTCCAGGACGTCCGGCTGATCGAGTTCGACATCACTGGCTCTGGGATCAGGTGGGGCTGTGCCGAGGGGGACCTGAGACACCACCTGGGTGCCAGGGCCCAGCAGGGCAATGGGGTGCCAAGCACCCTAGGAGACAGAGCATGGCTCAGTCCCCTGAGCAGAGAGCACAGCACAGATGGACCATGGGCCTGGGGGCCAGAAGGACAGCTGCTCCACAGGGCAGGGTGGGAGTGTAGTGGCCGGGCAGCAGGGGCGATGTGCCCAGCCACAGCGGGTAGCCTTTGTTCAGTGCCCCCAGTCCCTCCCCTCCCACAGCTTCGCCCCCCACCAAGCCCCAGCCCCTCCACACATACAGGTACCCCTTCTTAGCTCCACTGCCCCCACAGACACACAACCATTACTGTGACCCACACAGGCAGACACCCCCACTGAGTCGAGCGCCCCGGCACTGTCCCACACAGCTTTGCTGCCGGGGACGTGGTGCTGATCCAGCCTGAGAACTCGGCCAGCCATGTCCAGCGGTTCTGCCAGGTGTTGGGTCTGGACCCTGATCAGTACTTCACACTGCAGCCCCGGGAGCCCGGTGAGTCCTGCGGGCAGGTGAGCCTGGGGCCAGCAAACTGCCCTGTGCTTCCTGCTCCCACCCCTCTTCCTTAACTTCCGTGCCCTGGCCACCTCCCCTTCTGCCTCCCCCGTTCCATGACCACTCCCCGCCCGTTCCACTACTGCTACAGATACTTCCCGCCCTGCACGCCTGCCTGTGCCCTGCTCGGTGAGGCACCTGGTGTCACAGTACTTGGACATTGCCAGCGTCCCCCGCCGATCCTTCTTCGAGCTGCTGGCTGGCCTCTCCCCGGCCGCACTGGAGCGGGAGAAGCTACTAGAGCTCAGCTCTGCCCGAGGCCAGGAGGAGCTGTCAGACTACTGCACCCGCCCCCGCAGGACCATCCTGGAGGTGGGTGCGGGCAGTGGGTGGGCCTGAGCCCACAGCAAGCCCCAGGCCAGCCTGAGGACGCTCCCCCAGGTGCTCTGTGACTTCCCACACACAGCGGGCGCCGTGTCCCCTGACTACCTGCTGGACCTCATCCCCCCTATCCGGCCACGAGCCTTCTCCATCGCCTCCTCTCTGTTGGTGAGTCCCCGGGGTGAGGTTGGGCTCCTTAGGGGTAGGGGCCAGCTGGGGCCATCGGGCAGGGCAGCAGAGCCCAGGGCCAGGCTGGCACACCTGCTGTCCTCTCTCTCAGGCCCTCCCCGGGCGGCTGCAGATCCTGGTGGCTGTGGTGCAGTACCGGACGCGTCTCAAGGAGCCCCGCCGGGGCCTCTGTTCCAGCTGGCTGGCTTCTCTGGACCCCGGGCAAGGTGACCCTCTGTTCCTTGTGTGTGAGGCCCACGGTCTTCTCCCCGTGCAGCCTGGCCTGTCTTGTGCTGGGGGCCTGCGGTCCTCATCAAGTCTTCTCCTGCAGCAGGACCTGTCCGGGTACCCCTGTGGGTGCGGCCTGGGAGCCTGGCCTTCCCAGAGACACCAGGCACACCTGTGGTCATGGTGGGGCCTGGCACAGGTGTGGCCCCCTTCCGAGCAGCCATCCAGGAGCGGGTGGCCCAGGGCCAGACTGGTGAGCGTGCCAGGGGTCCCAGGGCAGGGAGCAGAGCCCCAGCACAACCTACTTCTTGGCGCCTCTGGGGGCTATGTGGCGAGGACCCTCAAAGGAGGCCCTGGCACCAGTACCCGAGTCCCGTCCCCAGCCCACTCTGGGCTTTTCCCCAGGAAACGTCTTGTTCTTTGGCTGCCGTCATCGGGACCAGGACTTCTACTGGGAGGCTGAGTGGCGGGAGCTGGAGCGGAGGGGCTGCTTGACCCTGGTCACAGCCTTCTCCAGGGAGCAGGTGTGGGCCTGGGTGGGTGGAGGGGCACACAGGGTGCAGGCTCGGCTCGCGGGCAGGGAGGACGGGATGCGGTAAGGCTCAGCTCCCTGCCCCGCCCACAGGAACAGAAGGTGTATGTCCAGCATCAGCTGAAGGTGCTCGGGCCTCTGGTGTGGAGGCTGCTGGACTCCCACGGCGCCCACTTCTACCTGGCGGGGTGAGCAGTGCGTGGGGAGGGGGTGGGCTCAGTCCCGTGGCCCCAGGCCACACTGAGCCTCCACCTGCCTTCCAGCAATGCCAAGGCCATGCCAGCTGACGTCACCGAGGCCCTGACATCCATCTTCCGGGAACAGGGTGGTCTCTCCGGCCCTGACGCAACCAGCTACCTCACCAGGCTGCAGCGCACACAGCGCTTCCAGATGGAGACCTGGGCATAGGCTCAGACAAGCCAGAAAGGCATCCCCATCTCTGGGCCTTGTCTGACCTCAGTCTGAAGCACTCGGCCCCCAGCCTGGGCCCCCAGACACAGGCCCTCCTTCTGGTCCCGGCCTGCCCACTCCAGCCTTCACTGCCCACCACCCTGGGCTCCCCTTCCCGTGTGGCCCTGTGCTCCAGGCTCTGGCAGCTGGACTGTCCCTCACAGGCAGGGACGTTCCTGTGAGAGCCCTGCCTTCCCCCTGCTCTGGACACCCCATCCCTGTTGTACAGCAGCATGGCTCCAGTTCCCACGTTGTGCCGTGAATGCCAGGCATACAGGATACAGGCTGGAGACTTGAGGACTGGGCTTTCCACTGGAGTTGAGGGTGAGGCTGGGCTGGCACACACCACCCAGTTCCTGGAAGGTGGAGGTGGGGCAGTAAACAAGCGTGACTTCCTGGTGTGTCTGCCTCCTGTGTCTTCCCGTGCCACTTGTCTGTCCACAGCAGGACGGCCCCACCCATGGGGGCGAGTGTGTGCAGATGTGCACAGCTGTGCACGTGAGTGCATCTTGTGTGTGCCCACGTCTCTGTGTGTGAGCACCTCTGCACGTGGGCATTTGTTGTTACGTGCCATCGAGTCGGACCCGACTCATACCAAGCCCTCCTTGGGTTCCGAGGCAGTATCACTACGGAAGTAGATTGCCCTACCTTCCTTCTGAGGAGTGACCGGTGGGTTTGAACCTCCAGCCTTCTGGTTAGCAGTCAAGTGCCTTACGCACTATGCTACCAGAGCTAGTGGGCATTTAGAGGAGCTCTGGTGGTGTAGTGCCCATGGCATTTGACTGCTAACCAGAAGGCTGGCGGTTCAAACCCACCCGTCACTCCTCGGAAGGAAGATGGGGCAATCTACTTCCGTAGAGATAGCACCTCGGAAACCCAAGGAAGGGTTGGTATGAGTCGGGTCCGACTTGACGGCACGGCACGTAACAACAACATTATTTCCTCATAACTTGTGGCTGACCTGCCCTTGCTTTCCTCCGTGGGGATCACTCTTAAGGGGTTCACACCTGCAGGTTGCCCACCTCGTACCTAGAGGCTCCTGCAGCAGGTCAGCCATGCCCAGGTGACAACAGAGCGGGAAGCAGGGTGGGCTGGCGGCGGGGAGGGGGGGGGGAGGGGCGGGGACGACAGGCACCGGTCATGGGAGGTGGGCGGAGCCTGCCTGCTGGGCGACCAGACCAACATCCCTTTCCTGCCCAGGCCTGTCTGGGGAGGCGGGGTCGAGGGGCGGGGCCTCCAGGCGCTCCTGGGGCGTGTGCTGTTGGAGTCATCTTGTGGGCCTGCCCATAAACCCGGAGTCACCCCGTACCGGATGGTCGCTGCTGCCACGAGAACTGGACGGCGCCACGGCTGGGCTCAGGCCCCAAGTTGGCCGGGACGGCCTCACATTGGCCCAGGAGGTGCTCCGAGCTGGCACAGGGTGCCCGGGGCCAGGCAAAGTTAACTTCCAGTGTGGAGGAGACCGACCACCTGCCTGCGAGAGATCAGTATCCAGATGGAGGGTGGAGCCCAGACCTTGCGCAGGCCCTGAGGGTGATCCGGACCCTCCCACCCCATCCAGGCCTCCTAATCTTGACTCCTGCCCGGAGGCTTCCAGCACTGGACCCCCCAGCCCACCTTCAGTCTCTCTGAGCCCCGAGTGGCTGGACACACCAGGTCCAGTGCCGGCAGCAGAAGGAGAGAACAGCACGGGCCCCAGGACGCCCCTGGATGCCAGCCCACCGGAGTGTGAGCCCCTGCTGGGCGCCGTGACCCCTCTGCAGGACGAGGCGCCGGGTGTGGACAGCGAGGACAGCGAGTGTCCCATATGCACCGAGCCCTACGGGCCCGGGGAGCACTGCCTGACCCTGCTGAACTGCGGCCATGGCCTGTGCACTGGCTGCCTGCACCAGCTGCTGGGAGCCACCCCCAGCACCGACCTGGGCCGTGTGCGCTGCCCCCTGTGCCGCCAGAAGACGCCCATGATCGAGTGGGAGATCTGCCGGCTGCAGGAGGAGCTGCTGCAGGCCGATGGGCCCCAGCCACCGCCACCCGCTGCTCCGCCCTTGCTGCCCCGCCGTGGCCATGGGCCCTGGGCCGCCCTGGAGCACCGCTACCAGCTGCGCTTCCTGGCGGGGCCCGTGGGCGGCCAGGGCTGCCTGCCCTTCCTGCCCTGCTCACCCTGCCTGGGCGCCCGGCTGTGGGCCCTGCGGGAGCGAGGGCCCTGTGCCCGCCGCCTGGCGTTGCTGGGCCTGCTCGGTCTGGAGCTGCTGGGCCTTCTCCTCGCCGTTACACCGCTCACGCTGTTGGGCCTGCTCTTCGTGCTCCTGGACCGGGCCAGCCGCTGAGTAGCTGTTGGCCAGCCTAGGCGCCATGGAGTCACGGGAGCACCCAGCCTGAGGCCCAGCTGAGGGCTCCGAGGTGAACCCGGGTCTTTCTCTTTAGAACCAGGAGCCTGGCCCAGGGTAGGCCAGAGAAGGCCACACCACTCTGTGACCGGACACTGTCCACTCTAGGACACCCGTCGGAAGGCCTGTCCTGGCTGCAGAGGGGCCTGGAGTGGACAGGAGACCAGAGAGGTCCCCAGGGAGCTGGTCCATGGAGCAGGCACCTGCCTATGGTGCAGATAAGGGCTAGTGTGTCCCTGGAGGTCAGGGCTACTGACAGGAGCAGCCTGTGGCGCCTTCCACGGCTCAGCCCCACCTGCTGCAAGGGCACCCTCAGCAGACCCGGGTCAGGACAAGGGCCTTGGCACTGCTGGAGCACCCCACCCCCATGGCCAGGGCCACCGAGGCCTGGGCTCTGCTGTCTGTGGACGGTGGGGTTGGTCACTGACCCCCAGCATCTGCCTAAGGAAGAAGGTTGCCCCCCACAACTTCACAGGCTGAGTGAGGTGGCCTGGGAGGGAGCGTGTGGCACATGACATGCTCAGGTGGAGCCTGGCAAGCAGCAGCTCACAATAAACAGCAATGGTTCTTGCTGTGGTCACTGCTGTCACTTATCTTCACCCGGGAGTCGCGTGCCCTCTGCCCTGCCCCACCAAGATCCCTTCTCCAAACCTGGGTGGTCTGAGTGCAAAACAGGAGCCCCTGGGGTCCTTACACACATCCCCAAGATCTCAGCCAGCTTTGGTCCCAAACCCTTGCTCACCTGGCCCCAAGGCAGTTCCCACACTGCCTGAGAGGACCCAGACCCGCGGTCAGGGCCGGGCGGACAGCACGGCAACGGGTCGAGACGGTACTTAGCACAGCCAGCCCCGCTGGCAGCCAGGGCACCAGAAGAGGCACAGCTCTCACCAGTTGGGCCTGCTTTGCTCTGACACGGGTGGGCACTCACCGCACCCACACTCACAGCCGGGCCCAGCCCACACAAGCAGCTGCCCACAAGGCTGCCACACCTGGGTGCCCTGCAGCAGCTTCAGGCCAGACGTCTGGGCTGTGGTCCCTCACCCACCCTGGCCACAAGAGCCACCTTCAGTCCAGGGAACAAGGTGCAAACTTTGGCAAAGAGTTTTAATGGCAGAGTTGGCTGCAGCGACAACGCCACACAGGATGGGGCGGAAGCTGCGGTGCGCGTGGAGGGGTCAGCGGGTGGGTGGGCAGGGTCCCTGCAGAAGCAGAGTGAGGGCTAGTGGCGCGGCGGTGACAGCAGCAGGGGCTACATGATGGAGCAGGCGGAGAGGGGGTTCCGCACGTGGCAGGTGCACGCGGCCCCACAGTACTGCCGGAAGGTCTGGTAGCAGCTGCCCTCAGGCTCCCCGCCCCACTGGCCACTGGGCGGGGCGGTCAGTGCCTCGGGGGGCAGGCGGCTCAGGATAGATGTGTTGATGGCCAGCGCGGCCAAGCCGTAGTCCGTGAAGAGCACGGTCTCGCGGTGGCAGGTGGGGCAGGAGATGAACTTGTACTTGGGGCAGGATTCGTAGAGGATCTGCAGGCACTGCTCGCACACGGAGTGCAAACAGGACAGCACGCGGGGCCGCCGCTGCGTGGCGTTGTATGTGTGCCCGCAAGTGGGGCACTCCAGGGGCTCGCCCGCCGCCGAGGGGGCCGGCGCCGGTGGGCCAGGCCGCATCACGTACTGGTTTACGATGACCTCGTCGGCCGGGACCACACGGGGGAAACCCAGTTCTGCACTGCCCTTGCGTGGCCGGCGGGGCAGGGGCGGGGTGTGGGGCGCCCCTTCCAAGACGGGCATGTCCCCACCACAGGCCTGGTTGACAATGATCTCTGTGTCTGAGGGCCAGGCGCGCTTGGGTGCCAGGGCAGGGGTGGGCCGGGGTGCGGGGGGGAAGCAGGGGGCGGCCGCCTGCAGCTCCGGAAACTTCTCGGGGTGCACGATCTTCATGGCCTCCATCTTGAGGATGACGTGGGGGCCCTTCAGGCAGGACATGAGGAGGCCCGGCCAGCCGCTGCCCGCCTCGGGCCCGGGCTCAGCCGGCATCCAGCTGTCTGCAGTCACACTGGACGTTCGGGAGGGCGGGGGCGTTGGCTGGGGTCGGGGGGAAGGTGAGGGGACAGCATCCTGGTCCCGCCAGGCCTGGGGGGGACCCCGGCCG